TCATGCCATTTTTTTTACATATATGGAATTATTGCACTGATATTATCTTCATTTATGTAACATCTGTTGCTGTTTCTTCGAATGACATGCTATGGCCAGTATTATTTTGTAGGGTGACCAATCACAGATACATGTGTCAAATATTATGCTATCCCCAAATACAAAGCTTGCCTTTACTATGTTCAGTATGAAGAGGTTCATTGTTTAGAAACTTACACTCCAGACAGTACAAACATGGGCATGTGTGAACATGATTAGCAAGTTACTGCACTATAATGATAATAATGCACAGCATATCCCCCAACCCAATGTTTTATAAAATGTTCTTTACCTCCAAAATGCATAAATTAGGTTTCCTGAAGATTCAAGACATGTCATTAATTGTTGTGGCAAATATGTCCAATCTTTCACTGTTCTTTGGAGTGGATTTGTAACTCTCCATTCAAGCAATTGGGTATGTTGTTGGTATATTCATGCTGATTTCTACCAATCATTTTTTAAAAACAAGTTATGGCATGGGTATTTTGCGTTATTTAGAACTTTTGTAAAAGTTATTTAACTGTTTCCCCAATCTATTATGTTTTAAGGGCATCAATGTCAACTTATTAAAAAACCAAATTCATACTTCCTGGTTTATAGTCAAAACAGATTTTAACAAATGTTGCTATTTTTTTACTTGGGAATGGACATCTCAAACTGTACAAATATATTCTAAAATGGGTCCTTCAACAGAAATTAAATTTTACACCATTAGATTTGGCAGGAAGTTTTGTCAAACATGTATGTTTTTTAGATTCAAAAGGTTTCTAATGCAATTGCTCAGAGAGCTACATTTTATTATTATAAACATCAAAATACTTTAAAAATAATCTTTGGTATAATACCAGTGGGAGTTGTGAAGCGTGTGAAGAATTCATTTGGAAGCTCATTATCTGACAAATTATGAATACATGATTTAATTAAGTCAGACTCTTTCATGATAGGACATTTAAATTTAGAACCTTTTTCTTGTCCATTTGTAGATCTTAATAATCCTGCTTCGAAAGGAAGTTGAGACCTGAACCAGAAGAGATTGAATATGTTTCATCTAGAAATCTAAATTTTAAAACTGGAATTTATTTAACATATCCTTCCACTGGTTGTTAGAATTAATTTTGTCTGTTTTATGATATTAAATTTCTGATCAAAGCATTATAGGACAAACTGAAATAACTTGTTACCTGGAACTACTTGAATCAAAGTACAAGAAAATAGTTTACATATTACGTGGAATAAATTTAGACACACTCGTGTACAAGTTTAAATTTAGACACTCATGTACAATTTTAATTTAGACATATGTACAAGTTGAAATTTAGACATTCATGTACAAGTTGAAATTTAGACATACCTGTGTACAAGTATTGAATTTAGACACCCATGTACAAGCTTAAATTTAGACATACTCACGTACAAGTTTAAATTTAGACATACTCGTGTACAAGTTTAAATTTAGACATACTTGTGTACAAGTTTAAATTTAGACACACTCATGTACAAGTTGGATCCAACTGCAAGCAACATAGACCCTAGATTCAGAACTGATGCAGCGTTCAAGTAAAATAATAGATGTATTTCCTCTTTTGTCCTGAACCGTAGCTTGTTGGATGTCATTTAAAATGGAAAAATAAATAACAGCTTGGTCATTTAGATGTTTTGTATCACATAATATGTGCACTTTAAAACATCTAAGGTATTCCTGTAAAGTTATTCTGGTTCCCTAACTCCAATGAATCTAATATGATACACTGTACCTGGATCTGAATCAAACACTGGCAAGCCACTATCAGGATTTTACTGCAATCATATTTATATAATTTTTGATCTTATTCTACAAGTCTGTATTTTAAGGGTCATTTCTGTAAGATTTATGGCAAATCGTAAGGGTTGATTGGTCTGCTAATGATCTAACAACTACATACATTAAAAAATCAACAAAATTCTGAAAAATGTACAATAAGCACAAGTTCTCTGACTGCTTACACCATTCAAACATGTGATCCATTGAATTGTTTCTTCCCGATTCAGCTTTATACTATGTTGATTATGCCTGCATTAGTTAATGAAGATGGATAAAAGTTCAAAATATACATAGGACCTTTAAGTACTTACTGTAAATATCCACCAAAGAGCACAGTTTGGCTTTGTTATCTCAGTAAAAATGTATAGCTTCAGATGCATGGCATTTTGTAGTAATTTACTCAGTCAAAAGTTTTTAAAGTTGTGAAAATCTTTTAATTAAAAAGATATCAAGTTCTTTGGAATTTTATAAAAGAGTAATAAGTCTTTCAGATATAGATACATTGAGTGTTGCTTTAATATCAGTTATTAAGTATTACAAGCTGATCATTCAGTAATTTGCATTATGAATATATAATTACAAGTGATCTACAACATGCTTTCTGAAAAACATTTCAAGTGTAGGCAAAATGTCTTCATAGTACTTTAAAACAAATGGTATCTTTTCAAAGTCTATGAAACTTCAAATAACAAAATAACGAAATTTTCAGATTTGTCATTTTCATCATTTTCCAAATATTGAAACTGTGGGTGTGGCTAAATTTGACTTCAAATCCACTATATAAGCACTTGACTTCAAAACCCCATCAGGAGCTATCAAGCCAAATGGATAGGCTCTCAGGAATGCAGACACAGGGTACCAAAGAGACCAGCCCTGATAACTTTTAATCTTGTCTTGGAATTAAATTCTTTAATAGCATTGCATTCATAATATCCTCCATCTAATACAACTGGTGTATTTAAGCTTCCATGTCCAAGAACTTGTTTCCAAAGCTTGTCTGTCTCTTGCTGTTTTCATTTTAAAGACATCCCAAAACTTCTCAAATTCTTACATACTTCATATTATAGCTCTAACATTTGCTGTACTTCATATTATAGCTCTCACATTTGCTGTCCTCATATCATTTAATCTGCAGCATCTGCCTGCTTTACATCAACCTGAAACAAATTATTGCACTGTTATTGACAGAGTAAAACAAATGTCAGTCACATCATGAACTTTTGGGAGGATTATTCAACAAGTCCAAATGCAAATTGGAATTACCAAGATCTGCCATCACATAGTACGGATCAGTGACTACAATGTTTGTCCAAATACAGGTAGTTTTGTCTTGTAACCTGGAACATATGTTTGCAAAATTATTATCGTGTGTTTGGCCTTGCTGAGCAGAAAGGAAGACACATGTTACTTCTGTTATAAACTTGCTGAGCAGAAAGGAAGACAGATGTGTTACTTCTGTTATAGACTTGCTGAGCAGAAAGGAAGACAGACATGTTACTTCTGTTATAGACTTGCTGAGCAGAAAGGAAGACAGATGTGTTACTTCTGTTACAGACTTGCTGAGCAGAAAGGAAGACAGACATGTTACTTCTGTTATAGACTTGCTGAGCAGAAAGGAAGACATGTGTTACTTCTGTTATAGACTTGCTGAGCAGAAAGGAAGACAGACATATTACTTCTGTTATCAACTTGCTGAGCAGAAATGAAGACAGACATGTTACTTCTGTTATAGACTTGCTGAGCAGAAAGGAAGACAGACATATTACTTCTGTTATAGACTTGCAGAGCAGAAAGGAAGACAGACATATTACTTCTGTTATAAACTTGCAGAGCAGAAAGGAAGACAGACATATTACTTCTGTTATAGACTTGCTGAGCAGAAAGGAAGACAAACATATTACTTCTGTTATAGACTTGCTGAGCAGAAAGGAAGACAGATGTGTTACTTCTGTTATAGACTTGCTGAGCAGAAAGGAAGACAGACACATTACTTCTGTTATAGACTTGCTCAGCAGAAAGGAAGACAGGCATGTTACTTCTGTTATAGATTTATTTAGTATGTGAATCTTTTGCTTTTAAGTTTAGTTTTTCAAAAAGCTGCCTTCAAGTCAAAAAATGATAAAACTATCAATATCCCAACTGTTTAGTCATATATTTGCAATAACCAAAGTTATCTGAATTAGTTTATATATGCTCCTCTCTCCTATTCTTCATGTCACTTTGAAGACTGTCATTAACATAGTTCTTCATCATTATAATGTGCTTAACCACTTTCTGGATATAGCATGGTGCCCTAAGGACCCAATGACCAAAATGAAACTGCTGTATTTTAATTGGTCTATAAAATGTATGAAAAATACATGAAGCTTGGTATTAGATGTTTATTTCCTATTTATATCTGGATCATTGTAATCATTTCCACTATAATGCAGTTCATTACATACAATTTGTTGGGTTTTTTAGTGGCTATAATTAAATATTGCATGAGTGAAATAGAAACATTGTATTGTCAAAAGTGGTGAAGCCATGACAGCAAAAAATGTTTTCACTTCATGGTTGTAAATTTGATGCTCCTATTGTGAATTTTGTCAAACTGAAGGCTGTTTAAAAAAAAAGAAAATGAAGACTTACTTTTGTTAACATGTTTAAAGTGCAGATTGACTCTGACAGTACAATAATTGCTGATGTAGGGGTACTGAAGAAACTGGAAAGAATCATGGTCCAACAGACTTCAAAGTATAAAATCATTAAAAGACAGATTTTAACGACTTTGCTTTCTTTTTTTTATTTCTGTATTCAAATGTCAATTTTTGTCTGCTGGCAAGCCTGTTATCTATTTACTGAAAGGTAACATGGAAAATCAAGTTTAAAACAATGTATCTGATAATGACTACAATCCAAATTTGTTATAGATGGTCATCTTACATATAAAGTGTGTTTGTGTGTGTTTTCTATTTTTCAGTCATATTACTATGATGTCAGCAGTGTGGCAGTTTATAATGATGTCTAGCACTGGAGCATCATGCCACAGACATGTAGCTTGATGTCCCACCCAGTCACATTATCCTGACATCAGGCTGACCAGAGTCCTAACACTAACCTCCTAATGCTCAGTGCTAAGTGAGGCAGCTGTTAGTACCATTTTTGTATGTCTTTGGTATATCTCGGCCTGGGATCAAACCCATGACCTCCTGCATCCAAGGCAGATGCTCTAACCACTAGACCACTAGAGTGGTTAAAATATAAAGTGTATGACAGCCACTATTGTAAAATATTTTCGAGGTTAAACTCTCCTCTACTGCAAGGAAGATTTAAGTTACACAACTGTCATGTAATTAATGATTTATTAATTTAAAATGAAAGTAATTTAGAGAACATAGTTATTAATTATCATAAATGCTGGTAGACACTGGTGTAAACTAATGTTAAATGAGACGAAGCAAGATCCAGAAGGGAAAATTCCATAATGTATAATCCTATTTTCAGGTTAACCATACAATGTTTTCTTGAGTTATTTGGCACATGATAAACTTTATTGCAATAATGAGATGCTAAAGTAAGATACGACAGTGCAGACTACAAAGTTAATGTGGGGAAAACTGTTGGAGCAACCAAGATTATCTGATGTTACAGTAATATTAGAGCATTATGTACTGTTATTTTCATTTGTACCTTTAAAATGGTGCCTGTCCCCAGATTTGGAAGGAGGGGGACACAGTGTCTCCTGTCTTTGGGATCCTATGTGCAACATCTAAACATTACATCATAATCATGACCATCATTTTGGTTTTGTCAGTTGGTCAATGTTTTTTACTGGAAGATTTAAATAATAATAATAATAATAATAATAATAATAATAATAATAATAATAATAATAATAATAATAAAAATTAATAATTAATAATAATGACTATTGGTGTTGCTGTGAAGGCAGTTTTAAATTTCATTCTTAAATTGGGGTAGGCTACTGTCATAATAAAATAGAACATAGTATGCATGATTTTAGTTATCTTTTACATCTAGATCTATGTACATAATTAAAAATCATTCTGATGAAAAATTTTTAATGAATCTTTCCATTGTTCTATGAAAGGACATGTCATATATTACACTGGTGGAAATGCATACTCTTCAGTCACTAAAACTATTATCAGCATTCCATGCAAATGGTAGGACATCTGTAAAACTACTAAACATTGAAGGCAACTTAATTTTAATTATATTTTTATGCCATTTAGTGACTGTACAAACTTACCTTTTTACAGATGCTTCTTTTCTTCTCGTTTTAACTGCAAGCTTTAATTTTCCAATGGGCAATGTTGAATAGCAGTATGCAGACCTGTTTTATACACTTGCAGCAAGGAGATTAACCATGATACCACCAAAAGTATATGCTGAAATCTGACAGAATTTTGTGACTGGTGGCAAACACAAGCTTATCTTTTTCAAAAAGCAATAGCCTGAAGAAAGAAAAAAATTATACAGTGATAAAAGGTTCCCCAGATTACACCCATGACCAATTCTGACAATTGATTATTGTACTACAAAAGAGACAAAGTATCTTGAAGTCATTCTGTACCACACCTGACCCTCTATCTTGGTCCACTATTACCTTTTATGAGAGCACTCTACCATATCTACAAATCAATTTACTCCTAATACATGTACATTTATCTATTCATCAAGCCATCATTCACTTTTATGTGCTGTAACAAATTCAAATTACTGTTCCCAAAACTGTCCTATTCACCTTGCATCCCACAAGTCAGCAGCATAAGCTTTCTGGCTCAAAAGTTACTAAATAAAATAAATTGATTTTTAACAATTGAGTTAAAAAAATTTTTTAAAAAAATGTGCAAAGAGATTTTTGAGCTTATCTGTGTCTTCCACTGATCCATGAAACCATTTATCAATCAGGATGTTATAAATAAGAAGAGTTGAATTTTGCAAGACTTTTGATTTGTGTGAATGGCAAATAGAAATTTACCCATTGCATCAAACACTGTTATCAGGTTTAGGAGTATTTCATTTAGTCGCACCAGGGGTCAAGTTAGCCTTAAATTTTAGGGAGAGAAGTCACTTTTCCCTAAAATTGTGACTTCTCCTTTTGTTCATTTTGGTCAAAACAGGGAGAAGTGGGAGCAAAACAGGGAGAAGTGGGAGTTACACATGGAGAAGTGAGACCAAAACAATGAACATGATATTTATATATATATATATATATATATATATATATATATATATATATATATAGAAAGAGAGAGAGACAGAGACAGAGAGAGAGAGAGAGACAGAGAGAGAGCTACATTATCTTATTTTAATGATGTGCTCTATTTTTCAGTATGCTTTTAAGTTTTAAGCAATGCCTTATTTTCAAGTTGAAAAATGTGTTATTTGTATTGACATATTTTGTATGCATTTAAAATTTTTTATATTCATAACCATTTTATTCATACTTGTAGTATATGAGTGTTTGAATTGAAGTAAATGCAGTGTGTTTTGGCTGTATGACATAAAAGTCACATCAGAAGCTATAAATTGTAATTTTCACTGATAACAGTTACAAGATTAGAGTCTTGTAACTGCAAGTTGGTAAAAATGCTTAATAAACTACCACTTATTTTATTTTCTGTAAGTTTTGTGTAAAATTGCAGTCAAAAAGATTTCTAGATTTCTTTGAAACAGCCCTTATTACATGTACATAGGAATAAATGCACAAGTGACTTCAAACTTTACTGTTCATTCTGATTTCATTGTTCCCGATAGAACATTAATGTAATTAATCATAAACACACTGAAGCACTAAAGTCGCTATATAACTAAACTGGACCCTTTTTTCTCTCAACCGAAAATCCAAGAATTCGTATTGCACAGTGTAAGTGCATCTATTTTTAGAAGAAGGGCTTTTCTCATAACTAACCACGTTCTTGCTTCGTTACAAAAATCCATTAGTAGTACTGCATATTTATTTTTGTATTATTTGTCTACCTACTGGTAATAACGACATGCATTGGTTAAATATTATCTGCTTCATTTCTATATATATTTTTAGTATTTTCACAGTTTAAGAAGTGGTATATCATATATGCAGCGATCTCTGCCATTGCAAGTTCATTTTGCGGTTTCAAACTGATTATATGCAGAAAATATGCAAAAAAAGCCGTCAAAATCTCCATTTATTAAAAACAAAATATTAGAAAATACTCTTCACCGATCATATTTTTAAAAGCAAATTAATATCTGCATATTGATGTTTCAATTTCAAAACAGAATTTGGTATAATTTCATTATAGCACAGTAGGCCCAAATTCATGAAATCAAGCAGTGATATCTTGCTCTGGAAAAGGGTTAATGGTCAGTTAGCTATTAAAACTTGCATGTGAATATGCAAGAATTTCTTTGTACCCCAAAGCTGATTGGTATCAACACTATGTAAATACATATGGCCTTGGGATACAACAGTGCCAAAACTTACTGGCTACAGTGAGGGGGCATCTCAATGTCGTAATCTGCAGTCATTTTACATCTGAAAAATCAGAGGGCGAAGTCATTTTTGCTTTCTTAACAGAAGAAGGCGAAGTTTACGCTTCTCAGGCGACTTTTTATCCCACTTCACCTGGTAGCACGACCCCTGTTGCACATCTAAGTACCATCAATCTGCAGCTGAATGTTACTTTTTCCAATCAATCAAAAGTTGTTGCAATTCTTGTTTTATGGACCATAACTTTAGTTTGGTCCAATTCAGAAAAGTAAACACTTGTCTTCATGAAATCGAATATATATAATCAATAAAATCAGCCACAGATAGCCAATTGCCTTGATGGAGAAAAAGTACAGCCAGATGAAATGAGAAATATGAGTATTTCAAAGTTACTAACCTTATCTCTTTTGTAGTATCATCTACAGCATCTAGTGTACATAGAACTGTCAAGGGACATAACTTTCTAGCCTAAATTTTTGCTGCTGCTTCAGTTCCTGAAGAGTGGTCTGTTTGTATGGTATATTTCTAAAACATTAATTTTGACATACATTGCAGAAACATTGGAAATCAACAAAATAAACATCAGTGTTTATAACATGAAGCTGCTCATAGATTGAAAATTATGTTTAGAAAATTTAAACTTCCAAAATTTGTATTTTTACATTTTTAAGTTTTGACAATAAACATAGTAGGAATTTATCCATGTATTTTTCATACAGTTAACTAAATCTACTTGGTCCTTTCAGCAGCAGGTAAATGTCTGGTGCCAATTATAACTCAAATATTCAATAGTGTTGTTTGCCAGTGTTATTGTGTGAAACTTGATTTAGTGTGATGATTTTTGTTAGTTCAGATGAACAAAGTTGACATTTCCTTGGAAATTAATTCAAATGATGTCACTGCCAGATTATACCTATAACAATACACTTCAAAACTAAACAATAATGTTGGCTTGTTTTAAAAATTACCAATTTTTTTTTTTTATCAGAAATCTTCCTAAGAGCACCATTTTATACTTTCAAAATTTATTTGTATACTGAAGGTGCGTTTTTTAATCTGAGTATCTGAGTGACAGATGACAGTCATTTCATAAATAATCATTTTTTAAAAATACAAAATGTAAAAGCATGTGCAGAGTGCTGCATTTACATTTGAAAAAAAGAAACATGCTAATTTTGGGAATCACATCAATTTTATTAAATTATGTAGGATGTACCAAAATAATGGCTGTCACAATATTGGTATCAAAATTAATTATTGTGGCATCTTCGACTTGAAGCAAATTATACCAAAGCAAAATTTATTCAGATAGGGCCTAATGGGGCCCCAGTGGCTATTGAATTCAAAATTTCTTTAATCTTTTTCAATGCAGTTTAAAAAAAAAAAAATAATACTTGCTGCTAAATTTCACTGTGGAACTTGTTCAGAAAATCATTTATAATATCACAAATGTCTCACTATAGCATGTTATAACAATATTTCTATCCAATGTAAAAGAAAATGAGATCTTAAAACAACAAGTTATAGAGAATGCAGTGTACAGCATCTGTATTGTATTGATTAGAGACCAAGTCTCGCCGCGTACCAATTGTCGCAATAATAATAACAATAACAACAACAATAATAATAATAATAATAATAATAATAATAATAATAATAATAAAATAATAATAATAATAATAATAATAATAATAATAATAATAATAACTCTGTTAATAATTACCTGACGCTTATTTTCGATTGGGCTTGTCA